TTTTTTTTTTCACTAAAATCTTAAAACTTACGCAGCTGGTTGCAAATAAAGGGAGTTTTCATATCACCAATTTGTAGCAAAATTGAATTTTTTCATAAACTAGAATGTTAGACACATTTTGGTCTTAATCCATGTACACTTTTTTATTTACTGTATTTTTTCCACTTCACTGTAAAAATGGTATGTGTACATAATGTTTTATTGACATAGTCTATGGAGAAGTGCAGAAACTTCAGAACATGTGTATGTATTCTTTGGACTATGGATTCAGGTTTTTTGCATGTTTATATCTTTCGTTATGGATAAAGTATTTACAAAACAAAGTGACATTTGATTCAATTGTTGAGCCGTAGTTAGAATACTCAATTTTTAATTTTTTAATTTTTTTTATTTTTTATTTTCTTTTTTGTTTGGGGGGGAGAAAAGTTCTTAGCACAAATGTTTTACATAATTTGTACCAAAAAAAAATAAAAAATAAAAAGGAAAGAAAAGGAAGGGGTGGCCTGACACTGGTGGCACTACTAAGTGTGTGTTTTTAAAAAAAAAAATGGAAAAAAAAAAAAAAAGCTTTTAAACTGGAGAGACTTCTGACAACAGCTTTGCCTCTGTATTGTGTACCAGAATATAAATGATACACCTCTGACCCCAGCGTTCTGAATAAAATGCTAATTTTGGATCTGGTGACTGGTTTGAACTTTTTCTTTTCTACTTGAGCTGCTTTGAATGTTGCAAAAATCCCAAGTCCTGGAGTTTCATTGAGAATAACATTACAAAAGTATATAGTAGTTGTTGGGTAATTCACCACTGAAATGCGTAGCATGGCAACCACGTACGGTGAGCAACAGAGGGAATCATTTTGGATCTTCTCATCATAATAGAAGAAAAATGCCACGTGACTCAGGAACAGACCCTACTGGCGGTGATATTAAAATCACATCCTTTAACTTCAGTGAACTTTGGTATAATTCTTAATATATCTTGTGTTTTCATTTGTTTCTGCTAGAGCTTAATGGTTTTGCTGAAATCTAACAAGCCTTCTCTGTTTCCCCAGCATAAGGGAAATTTCAGTAAAATGCATTATTGGACCGGCCCTGGAAACTGCAGAGGACACCTGGAATTCCTGTGTCATTCACTGAAGCCTTTGTTTTATGTACTTAGTCGAATACACTTAGATTTGACTGACATTTACTTATTGACCTCAGAATTTGCTTTACTTTCATATAGTCACAGAGGACAAAAAAAGGAAATAATCTTGCTAGATTTTATAAAATTGTTTATGTTCTTACTGTAATTTATAAATGAATTTTAAGAGACTTGAAGGAATTCCCATTGTATTTTTCTATTAGCTTCATAATCATCGCACAGATATTCTTATACTGTACATTTTGAAAACACTTCTACACTATACCTCTTCTAATTAACTTTATATATTTTGCTTAACATAAAGGCTATTTTATATGATACAGTGAAATTTACTTTTCCATTGATTCGCTCTGTGGGTAATACATTCTTGTTACTTTGCTAATAGTTAAATGCCAGAGCTTGCCTCTGGGAATTTCCATAATGAAACTTACTAAATTTGCTAATTGGAATAGTCTTTTCTAAAATTGATTTTGAGACAGAGCCTCCATGTTGTTATATATCCAAATGAAAACTATCTTCACATTCAAACATTGCAATATTTTAAATTTCATCATTTAAATAAACAGTGTTCATATTATTTGCTTATAGTTGATGTACAGTCACAAACCATAACTAGTATATACATAAACTTTAAGCATTGATGATATATATACATAATCAATAAAGGTAAATGTTAATACTTTTCAAACCTTCCCTTTTTTGCAGATGAAATATGTAACTATTTCCTTTGTAAAAATCATTTTTTAGAAAAACGGGAAATCAGTAAAAATTGGAAGCCTCTGCCCTGCTATAGGAGGAACTTCTATTTAGCTGGTTGGTGTAATTTCTAGTTCCTTCAAAAAGCACTTTTATACACATATTTCCATAAAGGTTTTATTTTGTTTTGTTTTCATGAAAATGAGATTGTACATTATGTATTATTCTGTAACTTGCCTTTTTCACAAAAAGTGTATCTTGGAAATTTTTCTATATTATTATATATGTAATCTACCTAGTTTTTAAAAATACTAAATAGTATTCCATAATATAGACATAATAGTTTTATTGAACCACTTCCTTGTTTGTTTTCAATTTTTTTGCTATTAAAAATGATGCCACAATAAATGTCCTTGTGCATGTCTCTTTGCATGGAAGTATTTCTCTAAATTAGATGCTTGAAGATGGAATTGCTGGATTAAAGAATGTGGAGAGAAGTTNATTTCTCTAAATTAGATGCTTGAAGATGGAATTGCTGGATTAAAGAATGTGGAGAGAAGTTAATTAAATATGCCTGAAATTATAAATGTTTTAGCATACTTCAAAGTGCCTTTTCGTTACAAGAAGATGAGGCTTTTTAAAAGCCAGCAACTTCCTCCTCTGGCAAAAGGATATTATGCAGCTCAAAATAGTACCCACAAAATGTAAGACAATCTAGCCAGGGCCTTTTTCTTTTTTCTTTAGAAGTTAGCCTTTGTGGCAGACCACAGTAATAGTTTCAAGCACTCTGTAAAATGGCTATAACCATGTGACCTAACAAAACCTAGAAAACTATATTTATGAACATGGTTATGGACCACATCCAGAAACATGTTTTCCTAGGCCAATCCTGGTGATTTGGATCTCTTTTGCAATATTGTCAATTTAAAAAGTGCATACAGAGTGCTAGAATCTCTGTGAAGTAGCTTATTTTCTGTGATAAAAGTATGTGCACTTTGAATTTTAGTAAGACATTGCCAGATTTCCCTAATTGAAGACTGCATCAATTTATACTTCTACCAACACTTAGAAAAATCAGTTTACCTTCACCCTCAACAATCCTGGACTTTAAACAATATGTTTAAAAGTTTTGCCATTATGATAGGCACCAAAAAATACCCATGTTAATAATTTAGACTTTCCTGATTATTAATGAGGTAGATTGAGGACTTTTTTTCTCATGTTTATTAACCATTTGTGTTTCTTTGGATTATCTATTTTCATTTCCCTATGGAGTTATTTGCCTTTTTCCAATTAAGTAGTAAGAACTTTTTATATGCATTTTCTTCCCTGGTCTTTTGCCAATCTAGTAAATTTTTATGATGTTTTGTCTTAGGGAAATTTTTATGTGATTTATTCTCATTATTTTCAACTATAGATTTTTGAGAAAGTTTTTTATATGCATTTTCTTCCCTGGTCTTTTGCCAATCTAGTAAATTTTTATGATGTTTTGTCGTAGAGAAATTTTTATGTGATTTATTCTCATTATTTTCAACTATAGATTTTTGAGAAAGTTTTTCCATCTCCAAATTACTAAATTGTTATCCTGTATTGTTTTCTTTGTATTGTTTTGCAGTTAGCTATTTAATTCCCCTAGAAATTATTTTGTATGATGTAGACATCTAATTTCTAGATACATGGTCTGTTTCCCAAACACCACTAGTTAAAAACTTCAACCTTAACCCAGTCGTTTGAAATGCAACTTTTATCATACACACAATCCCCATCTAAGCATGTGTGTGTTCTGGATCTTTTATTCTGTTCTGTAGATCTTTTATTTAATTCCTGCACAATACTAGGTTGTTCCACTAGAATGTCAGTTCTGACAAGCCACTCCCCACACTGTTTTTAGTCGAAACTTTCTTTATTCTTTTTTCACATATTCTCTTGTGCATAATCTTTAGAAACAATTTTTTCAAGTTCCATAAATATTTTATTCAAAACCCTATTGAGTTGTGAAAAGTTAACAGTTTCATCTATTATTCCCTCCAATACTATATTAACTCACTTTTCAGATACTTTTTGAAGTTTACTAAACATCTCATTTTTATACTGTTGTTTTATCATTTTCGTTGCTATTATGAGTGGGTTCCACTTTTCACAGCATTTTTTTCTAATTATTCTACTGCTGTATTGAAAATTTGTCGACTTTGATTTCTCTAGTTTCTCTCTTATTTTATTCTTGTGTGTGTTCTTGTAGCTTTTTGGTGATTCTCTTGGATTTCCCTGACGTAGTCATGACTGCAGTTAATGATGAGTTTTTTGGGTTTTTTCCTCAAGATTAATACTATTTTTTTTCCCTTTACAGTTAGCAGCAGAAATGATCATAAGTTTTATTTTATTTTTCCTGACTATAGTAGGAAGGCTTTCTATATTTCACCATTATACATAACACTTCCTAAAGGTAAAGTTTTATATTTAGTTACTTTCAGATGTTGAGTGTACATTCTGAATTTTATAAAATGCATTTCTTTTATCTACATAGTTATTATAAGTACATTTATATAGTGAATTATGCCATTAATGTCATCAGATTTTCTGGTATTGAATAAAACTTCTCTGGAATTATGACCTACTTGGTCATAATGTTATTCTTTTAATGGGCTGATGTATTTGATTTGTTGCTATTTTA